AGCCATTCCGATTGCAGTACAAATGGGTGTAGTAGGTGATCATACGACTAACGTCGCGCCATTACCTACTTTTCGGGGTTTGCCAGGTGCAGATCCAGATCAACATTTGTTTCAATTCTTGATGGCATATGTAGCCAATAATGGAAGAACAGAAGACATTTGGTTAAGATGGCTGCTAGCGACATTGAAAGACACAACGTTTGAGTGGTATAACCGCCAACCTGTGGGACAATTTATCAATTGGGAGGCATTGAAAAATACATTTTTAGCCCATTTTCGACCAATTGGTTTTGAAGAACGTCTTAGAAAAAAATTAATGACCAGCAGAATGGTACCAGGGGAAGCGGTATAGTCATATTATGGTCCTATAGCGGATATACTTCGAAAATGGCTAAATAACCAAATGCCGAAATCGTTTGTGTTGTCCATATTGGTTAATGGATTACATCCACCAGAATTGAAGATGTTTGTAAAGGAGGCCCAATCAGCCATCGTTGCATCATCTCTAAAGCGAGCAAAAGTATGGGAGGAATGTCACTATGACCAAAACTTAAATCTTGGAGCCACGATGATTCCATCTCAAGGAGGTTATCAAATGATAGGGTGGTCTTCTCACTTTGGAATGATCAAATCATAGGGTGGTCTTCTCACTTTGGAATAGGACATTACTAATGGTTGAGAAAACTTATCAACTATCTTCAAAAAAAACAAAGATTAGAGTATATAACAAATATAATTTGCTGCATCTTAGACTTCATCAACATATAATCACCACTCCTCGTAGAACTCGTCTCTAGAAGAGGGGATAATATCACAGATATATATATATATATATCTATTGTAATTTTTATTTGAATAATATGAATAGATAGAAATAAATAAAAGTAAATTAATTTCATAGTACCTTCTAAAATAGCTTTTCAGAAGCTTTGTAGATGTTTTTTTGACTTTACATATGTTTTTAGTTGATTAATAAGTTAGAAACTTAATCAACAAGCTATCCATGTGCCATATGTCTTCATAGCTTATGGAACAAAGTAATTATGTGATGCCCATATAAAAAACTTACCTTGCAAGTCAAAATATATGTCATACAAAATCAACATGTTTTTAGAGGTCCTATAGAATGTCGTCACATAGATCCTAAATAGATAGTATATATAGAGGCAAGAGTGAAGCCATCTTCACTCTTGTCAATTTCTTTCTTACTTCTAGTCTAGATTCAAGAATCTCTAGTTTCCTTATCTATTAGGAATAGCCATTTCAATTTTTTTTTAATATATATGTTATTTTATTTCTATTTTTCACTTTTCTTTTGACATAGATTTCACAAGTTTATGCATCTTCTTTGAATTCATGTCTTTGACAACCATTAACTATCAATAAGATAATTGGACTTCATATTTATCTTTATCAAAATTTGCTTATAATAATATTCTTTATGCTTCAAGTCAACAAATACCATTTTATTTCAATTATGGTTATCATCCAAAGCTTGATTTGTTAGGTACATCAAAGGTCTATGAAGCTATTACTAGTATTTTATATATATCAAAGAAAAGAAATCTAAAATTAATACTCTTCATGAAATTCAAAGTTAGAAGAGAAGTAATGTTACAGACATCTAATAGGAAGATTTTAAAAATATTTAAAGAATATTCTATTAAATTCTAAAATATTCTAAAGAATTTTAGAAAGATTTTTATAAGATTCATAGAAGGCTCTAAAAGGTTCTTAGAATTTTTTAGTAGGTTTTAAAAAATTCTAAAAAGATTAAAGAAGTTGTCTAAGAAGCTTCCTATGGTTGCTTCACCTTCAAGTAATGTGAGAACTTCTTGAGAAGCTTTTTAAGGTTGCTTCATCTTCAAACAACATAGAAGTTTTTTGAAAAGCTTCTAAATACCTAATACATATTAGAATCAAGGCTAAGGGAATCTTCAGTCTCAACAATACATCTCTTGGAGTTATAGCTCACCTTTCTTTGTGTTGATCTTGTACTCATCCAATTTAATCAAGTTTTTATTAGCTTACTTCTTAAAACTCCTCTATTCAACTTCTTGTTTGGTCTCATGTATAGTGTATCAATGACAATATGTGTGATTATCCACAAAAATCATTCCATATTAACTTTTGATAGTTTAGAATTTAATAGTTATCAAAGATATTAAAATTATTAATCAAAAAGCTACTGCTTAAATAAAATCATAACATGGAACTTGTATAAAAATGAATCATGAGGTAAAAAGGGAGGTAGGGCTGAGGTGGCAAGGTAGAAGTATAGGAATAGAAGATATAGGATAGGAATGGGATGGAGGACATGGAACTTGCACAAAAATGAACCATGAAGTGGAAAGGACTTGGCTTTAAAAAATCCCGATATATATATATATATATATATATATATATGGCTTATTCTTTGCTTTGATACTTAATAAGAATAAGTCTTGAATTTAACAATTCTTAATTGTTTTAAATATGATTCTATACACTAACAAACAAAATATGACATTTTAGGCATGAAATAAGTATTAAAATTTAAAATTGAAAGAAATAAACAAGCAAGCAAGTAAGACAAAGGCATTCACCAAATATGTGGCATGACTAAGAGATGAAAGAGAGGTGTAGCAGGAGCCAAGGAAACAATGAAAGATATAGTATTTAAGAATAATCTAGATTCTATAAGAAAGTTAGCCTTCTAGCTACAGATTGCTAATATTATTTGTATATATATATATATATATTCCTAAAATATATTTATCATTATTATTATTTTGATATTTTAAATTAATCATAGAACAAATAATAGTTAGATTAATAAAAATTAAAATTAATAAAAAGTTAAGAGTTACGTTTTGAAATTTTATATCATGAATAATAAATCATGAGATAAGAAGTTGATTGTAACTAAATGGTTTGATGTCAAAACTTCACATAAAAACAAAAATTATAAAATACTATTGTTTTATTTATTATTGATTGATTGGATTTTATTTTAAAATATATATATATATATATATATTTCAGAAAACTATACATTATAATTGCAAATAAATATTGATTATAAAAATAAACTTTCTTTCTAAATATGTTTCATTAGGTTTTAACCAATCATCATAATCACTTGCATGGACAAATTCATCACCAATTACATTCACCTGATATTGTTGTTTTGTCTTTTTTCTTTTCATCATTTAAACAAACCCGTCTTTCCACAAGACTTTCACCATCCAAAGTGTCAATGTCCAATTCTTTCATTCTTTGAAAGACCACCATCGACTTTTCCAAGGCGTCCAACAAACCCACTTCACAAAAGCGCAAGCTTTACCACAACATCAACAAAGAGCAACAAGAAAAAAACAACTCAGATTGACAATGATGAGATCTCATGCATAAAAGCCCCCATCGATATGTGAGTCCTTCATGAGAAGTTGCAGCAACGCTTCTGTCAAACTCATGTGAGATGACCACGAGATGAGGCTGCGCACACAGTCAAACTCTACATCACAGCACTAAGGTCAAAAACACACACACACACTCACTTCAACAAAATCAAGCTGCAGCGGCGTGGTTTCATCGTCCGGGTTCCGTTCCCTTGTGATGAGGCAATGGCTGGCTACGGCGCTAACTTGTTGTCCAGTCTTCACGAGATTATAGATCTGTGACGATGTGCAGTCGGAATTGCTGTGTAACGGCAGCTGATAGCACTGTGCCACCCACGAGAAATTTTGAACCCTGGGTGGGTGGTGGTGATTGTTTTGTTTTGTTTGTTTGTTTTTTCTCTCCATGATGTGTAGCTCGGGCAGTCCCCACTGTCGAAGTGGCAGCCATCCAACAATCTAGAACACATCCAGGACGAAGGTATCACATCACGTCACATGTGCTCAACGTCGGATTCACTACCATTGGATTCTCCAGCTGCTCAAGGCTGGTGGAGGATTTTGTGAGATTTGGGGCATAGATACTAGTTGCCTTGTTTGAGAGGACGGGGATGATTTCGACTGGGTCTCTCACTTGGTTTCTGGCTTGTCTTTGACATGCGTTGTTGGCGTTGTCTCTCTCAGCAAGAGTCCCTCTGGTGTGATTCGAAGTCTTCCCTCTCTGTCCGCCCTTGCCTTCGTCGTCGATCCATGAGCTGGAGAAACTGATCGGGGCAAGTATCGACGTGATTTTGTGTTTCAAGGAAGGTTTTCATATTTTTATGTTCTTTTTTGTAAGCAGAGTTGATGATAGTCCCTCATTACCTACAGGGGTAAGGAATCAGAAAGCTGGTGAGTGGCACTGACCTGGCTATGGAACCAGCTGACGATGACGATTGTTGTAGAAATAAGTGAACAAAAAAAATCACAAATTAGGGTTCTCACTACGCAGGAGTGGAAGCTAGGTTGAGCGCCGTGATAGAGGCTGCACAAGTGTAACCCTCGCAGTGGATGCTTGAGATAATTCTTAGCTTGACAACCACCGCAAAAATATATAGAAAACAGTCAAACATAACCTCTTCGAACTTTTATGGGAAAACTTGTAGAGTGTGAGACCGAGGAGCAAGAGAGCACTCAACCACAAAGGGGATGGCTCATCGACGAGCGTTAGAAACGACGGTCCCGCCCACGCACGGAGTGCGAGTGACAAGGCGGACTTTTATCAGCAGACGTGCTGCGCCCACTACGCCAGGCCCAGGTGGAAGGTGTTCAACAACCAGCTCGTCACTTACGACCGCATGGGCAGGACAGCTACAACGTCGGCCAGGAAGCTTGCGGCGTCCCTGTGGGAGCTGCAAGATCTCCCTCTTCTGGTGTCGTTCCTCGCCTGCATGTACATCCCCAACTGGATCCCCCACTCGCAAAGAAGCATTCGCGTCGATTCTGGGGTCCTCCACTCGCAGGCTGACCCCGTCCGGTCCCCCCCTGGCTACCGTCAGCAAGTGGAGGTTTGTCGGGAAGCTAATTTTAGACTAACCCGTTTCTTGTGCCACTTTCAGGCTAGTTTTTCTAAATTCCACCCTACCGGGCGTATTATCCTGATCATGAAACCTTCTTAAGCGTAAGTTGTGAGTCAGAGGGATCCTTCAGTGACTAATCTTGTTTGCATGCTTGATGTCTGCTGGTTTCAATTTTAGACTGGCGCTAACGGGAGTTTGCAAACGCATCTGCAGAAGCTGCTGGTCAGAGGTGGCAACATGGAGACGGCCTCCATGGTAACTTCAACCTTTGAGATTTGCTTGCTTGTTTGAGGTGAATTGTTGGTTTGCAGAGATCTAAGGCTTAGTTGTGGCGTTGTTTTTGCTAAGCAGGTTGACAGGCGGCGACATGTGCCGTACGTGTTGTTTAGCGGGACGAGGAAAGGCGATGTAGATTCCACAACAATGTCTCAGGAGCTGTTGAAGGTGTTCAATCAGATACGGCTGCTAGAGGAGCAGCACAGCGCCGGGCTAAATTTGACAACCGCGCTGCATGGGGAGCTCGTGCAAGCGCAATCGCGGGTGCGAGAGCTGGAGCAACCGAAGCGGAGCGCCCGACGAGAGGAGGAGGGGCTTACGAAGAAGTTTGCCGAGGAGAAGTTGGCTTGGAAGGTGAAGGAGAAGGAAAGGATCAAAGCTGCGGTGCAACCGTTGAAGAAGGAGCTGGAGGAAGAGCAAGCTGCCAGGCAGAAACTGGAGAACGTCAACCGGAAATTGACAAAGGAGCTTGCGGAGGCTCAGACAGCGACTGCGAAGGTGCTCCAGGAGCTTGCGAACGAGCGTAAGGCCCGCCAGCTAATCGAGGGAGTGTGTCACAAGCTGGCGCAGGAGACGGGCGAAAACAAGTCCGAAGTGGACGAGATGAAGACCCACTTACAGAAGGTGAGGGAAGAGCTCGAGGAGGAGCGGCGCATGCTGCAGCACGCGGAGGTCTGGCGCGAGGAGCGCGTCCAGATGAAAATGAGTGAGGCGAGACTGGTGCTCGAGGAGAAGAGCGCCGCTCTAGATGTCATGCGCGGCGAGTTAGAGTCCTTCCTTCGATCTAAACACGACAATCCCAACGGCATGACCTCGGACGACGTCACTTTTAGAGAAGCCCAGATCTTACACAATGTGCTCGACGCAGTTCAGGAGAGCGTTGTCACTAGCGTCTCCAGCTCCGACTTCATTCTCGACACAGAATCATCAAGTCAAGCGATGCAGAGTCCAAATTCTGGACATGCCGAAACCGAGGCGAGGGCATTGTTCTACGCTGAAGGCATACCAGATGCCGACTAGAAATCAATTGAAGTCAGAGTCATTTAATGTAAGCAAAAAATTCGGGGAGGCGGTCGAAAGCGCCAAGATGTGAATTAATTACTTACCTGTACAGATGATGTAATTATGTCAAGCTTGAAGCACATAGCGGTAACATCGAATTGTTAACGAAGGTCCCTACGTCCTCCAGCTTGAATGGTTGCCGAAGGTATATCTGCAGAGGTGAATTGGGTACAGTCACATGAAAATTGTGCTGTGTACATTAGCTTCGGGTGTTGCAATAGGGGTTGGATTTGCGGGAGCTAACGGAATGGTGAATTGAATCAGTAGTCCGGAGAGATCAGAAAAAAAAAAAAAACCCAATTGAAAAACATATTGCGGGAAATTGATCCAGTTGAAGCCATAGCGCTAAAAGTTCGCTGCCAATGCACATTTTTGAGGTGAGTGGGCTGGCCATGAAGTTGCTGGAACCTTGAAAATTCATCATACTTTCTCGAAGTAAGATCTCTCGAGGGTGAAGAACAAAGAAGAATTAAGGAAAATTCTAAGAAATGCCATTTCAAATCACATCACAACAGTTACAATTGCAGAAACAAGGGAGAGAAAAAGAATTGTGCATTGTAACAGAAACAGTAAGTGCTTCTGCCACTCTAGTCCCCAATTGTGTTATATATTTGAGAGCATGTGCGAAGTTATTGTGCTTTAATTACTAATGTGTGGACCCATGTATCTCCATTGTGCGCTCACAATTATGCGTTCACATTCTGTGACGTTATTTACAGGTTATCCATGAGGTTTTGCTACTGGAAGAGATAAGTTCAGCTTGAGTTATTCATAACATACGCACATGAAATTTTGGTGGACTTGGGTGCATCCAAGAAAAGTGCTAAAAAGAAATTTGGCTTTCTCCTAATGACATATGAAGTAAATGATGTCCTATCTGCTTGTTCTGCTGCAACGCTAGTAACAACCACGACAGTAGAGTGTTATGTAAAATACACACACATGTGAGATGCAAGTAATCTTGGTTTTTAAGTGACATGACTAAGGTCTTTTTTTTGTATTACTCACTTATGTATATACAAGCTTCAATGGCACATCATGCAAAGGTTTTGGTTTTGAAGTACATTACATTTGACATGTGTTGTTACAAAAAAGTGTGATGATTTTTTCATCATTACATGTGACTATTACAAGAGATATATTGATTGGTAAAAATCAAAGACAAAATGTATGTACTAAGTAACAATCAAGCATACAATTACCAAATGATACATTCTATCACTAAAAAAACAAATTTTAAAAAAACACAGTTTAAACCAACAAAAAAAAGTCCCCAACATATATATTTTACTATAAATAAATGTTATTACATTAAAATAATTATTTATTGTACTACTCTAGTAGATCTTAATCCAACAATCACAATGTACTTTGATTTTTATATAATTAACCAAAGTTACATCCTATTTTATAATTAATAGGTTTGTCTAACAAAATTAAGAAAATAATAAGTCATATAATGCATTAGAATTTTATGAAATAAATAAAATACAAGAGATTATATATATATATATATATATATATATATGTAGTATTCTACCATTCAATTATATAGAAATGTTAGCTATTATATAAATAATTTTTGTACATCACAAGAAATTGAATACCACAAATTAACATCAAACATGCAATCAAAACTAAAGAAGAATGTACAACCATTACTCTTTCAAATGCCTTTCTCCTCTCTCTTTGCCTTAATGGAAATATAACAAAGATATTGCAAGTTGGATGTAATGTAAGTTCCATCTTAAATTACCTTTGACAAGGTTTTGATATTAAATCTCTTGGCCAATCTACAATCAAAGTGTTGAGTCTACATGTCTAATATTTGGTCAATTTAGAAGGTAATGTTATCACCATAAACATGACAAGTCTCACTTCCTAGATATCTTCAATACTTATCCAAAGACTAAACATGACTTGAAGAGTTTTTACAACAACCACAAATCTAATCTCTTAGAGATAGGATGGATAAGGGCGGCATCAAGCATGCTATATGCCAACCATGTTGACATTAGCTATACAATAATATGGTAGTTACATCCTTCATTTCACCACACAAAAAAAACTTGGAAGGCCAAATGGTACAACTACCAATTCTAGATGCATGCTATTTTTAATAGATAAATGAGAAGAAATAAAATTCTTAGAATACTTCTTATATTCCTCTCTATCTTTGCTTTTAAATGGCAAAAGCCTTATTGGCAACATATTCTTTACATGCAAATTGTATTCCCTACCTTCACGTCAAATTTTATTGGCACTTCACATCACAAATAAATATAATCTTCTTTGAAAAATCTTTACAATTTAGGTTGATAAATATCATTGTAAATCCAAGTATAAGGCAAGAAATTGTAGAGTTGTGCAATAGCCAAGTTTTTCATAGCCATAGGTTTAATTCACTTAAAAAACTATGCTCAATCATGAAGACATTGAGCTTAAATCTCATGGTCATTTGAATCTATAATTGGAGCCAATTTCTTTCAAAATGAGATTGAAAAAATAGGTACTAATGTATACAACATTAATAAAAGCTATAAGATGCCAATGATGTCTTTTAGCTAAATTGATAGCTTATAGTAAAGGTTTTTCAAAGAAGATTATTTTTTCATTGTAACATTGAATTCCAATCACAATGGTTTTCACAAAGCAATTCATACTTACATTGTCATATTACATGAAGTCTTGCTTGAAAATGCACTAAATACTTGGTTGTAGAAGATAAAATGATAATTGCTACAACAAGGTCTTAACAACTCTAATAGAATCCTAAATAAAATCCAGTTAAACTTTAACAATAAAATCTTAATCAAACCTTAATAAAATCTAAAAGAAATCTTAAAGAAATCACAAATTAATATAAAGAAATATATAAAAATAACCTCAAAGAAATAATAAAAAAATTCTAAAGAAATAATATATATATATATATATATATATATAATAAAAAATACTAAATAAATAATAAAATAGAAATCCTAAATAAATCCTAAAGTAGCACTGAATAAATCCTAAAAATCTTAATAAAATCCTTAATAAATCCTAATCAAATCCTAATAAATTCTAATAAAATCTTATGTAAATTTAATCTATCTCATAATAAATCCTAATGAAATCTTAAAGAAATATTTTTAAAAAATTAATTAAATTCTAAATAAATCCTAATCAAATTCCTATAGTTTTTTTGAAATCCTAATAACAATTAATTGAATTGTCAATTTCAACTTAATATTTTTTTTCAAAATTTCAATTTTTAAGTAAACAATAAGCATACAAAGTTTGAGAAAAATCAAAATTATCAATTGGAAGAAAGAACTTTTAATTTTCTTAGATGTTGGTTGTCATCCTTCTCCAATCTAAATGTTGAACTTTATATAGCAATTACTCTTTTTTAAACTATTCAATTAGTCTTCAAATTAGCAAAAATATAGATACCTAAGCTCAAAATGCTGTCACAAATTTTTGCTTCAATCAAATTGGAATTTTTTGTTTGGATCATAGAAAACCTCATTGATCTTAAAATTCAAATATTTAAGATCCTAATCCAATAAAACCTCCATATCCTTCAATTTAACCATTCAATTGACTTAAAATTTACAAAATACAACTAAGATAAGTACAATAAAAAAACTCACAAAATTTTATTTGTAAAGTTTCATAGAAAAGAGTTTGTTGGCTCTTCTTTGTTAAAAGTATCCAATAGATGAATGAAGTTGCAATGATTCCATTTGCCAATTCTTGTCATATTCAAGTCATTTATTAAAAAGAAGGGTGATGTGTGTTGTAAGTCCTTGAGCTATTCTTTATAATAGCTATATCATTGTTCTAAGTGACTAGAATGTATCTTCTAAACTAATGTTAGCTACAACAAATTGTATTGGATGTGAGATCTTTGGAATATTGCACTGGCTTCTTTTGTGTACACTAGTGGAAAATGACTACAATGTATGATCCCAATCAAGTTTAATATCTAATTGAGGTAAGTCAAGTTTGAGTGCAATAGCTAGGAATGTGTACATTGAGAGTTTCTAGAGGGGCTGATTTGCATACTTGCCTCTGTAAAGCCCTCGAAACTAGACTTGCTTTTTGTTCAATCCATGTAGGCCTAAAATGTATAGAAATCATTAGCATGTTTTCTTGAGTCATTGAATAGTGTCAATTCAAGTTGTAGGCCTTGATCTCTTAGTAAATTTGATATAAGTAAATTATTTACAAATTATTCAATAATTGGTGGAGTCTCCAATGGTTGTCAAGATTGACTTCTTTGCCTTTGAATAACATGAAAGGAATTGGAAGTTGCTTATTGAGCCTCTCTACTTAATTTGAACTATTTTAACAACTTTAGAGCCATAGAAGATAACTTAATTTATTCTTAGCTATTCCACTTATTGCGAGCTTCATTGAATTTATTAATGTCCAAAAATTTACTTGTATTGGGCTATGATTTCCATCTTTGGCACATTTTTTATATTTTAATATTTATTCAAAATTCTTTAGTCTCCTTCTATTTAGCCATAGCTATTCCAATTCTTGTAACTATCTTCTTTTCTTTTTTTTATTCTCTTTCTTCTTTAATAACACATGAATATATTGTCTCTTTAAGATTTTGTCATGATTCATATTCTTGACAACTTTAGGTGTTGTTAGATTTTCCAATCTTTTATGTAGTTGCAGGAGAAACACAATTTTTAGCATTATAGCCATCTATATCTTTTTTGTTATAGGTGTCCTTGGCTACAAAGTTGACATCTAATTTAATATTGATAATTGTTGTTCTCGTTGCATTCAAGCTTCAGTAGACCAAAGTAATTGAACTAATAGAGGTGGATTCAAACATGGAAAAAGATTGGTTGTATGAATTGGGTCTGGTAGTGTCACAATTAACTGTATTCTGGCTATCTAAAATTAAGTATCAAACTACAAAACATCGAGGCTTACTACTTCCATATTAATTCAATATATAATCTATTCTATGATTATCAATTCAATAATACTTCTTTCAATCACTATTCTTCATAAGCAAATAATAAAGAAAACAAAGAGGTAGCACCAAGCTTACATCGGCTTATGACTCTCACAATCTGGCCCTTGACTTACGACTCTCAATCTGGCTCTCGACTTACAATTCTTAGTTTGGCTCTTGGCTTACGACTCTCAGTCTGGCTCTTATCACTCTTTCCTCAACCTATTTATGCTACCAAAAAAATGATCCATCGACCAGCGGATTTCAAAGGTTATAATCCTTTAAATTCTTAACCATTTATTCCACTATCAACCTACTATTACTAACTAAACTGCCTAATCATCAGTCTAATTCTCAAGGTTGTCAATAACTAACCAGTAACTTACCACAAAGTTTATTTACCTATTCTACATAGCCCCACTCTTAATTGTGGAGCGTCCTGGCAAACATTATTTAGTCTCAACTTATAAAGACGTAATAGCGTTGGCTTCTTTACCCAATGGCATTGGCTTACCACCTTTTGAATTGGTGATCTTCTCCTCTTTACATCTTCATCATCTGCCTCAATGTTCGAGGGTTCTCCATCCAAACGCGCCGTCTGATCTTCATTCAACAAACCTAATTCTCGTACTTGACACTCATGTTGGGCAATTTGGTTGTCACACTGCTCTAGAATCTTCTGCCATTCTTCTGTCAATTTCAAAGGAATCTCCGAAGGTATTATCGTTGAAACTAGTGTATTGGTTCGCACTACATTATTGGCTTCCTTCGCTAATACTGCTAGTTTAATCTACAACATTGCAACCTCTACTTGTAGCCGTTCTTGTCGTTCCTTCCAATCAATCTCCATCCATATTGTCTCAGATATCATGTTCGCCATCTTCTCCTTAACCACAAAAGAAAACATGATGTTTGTCAAGAGCCCCCCTCTTACTTCTTACTATGGTCCAATCAATAGGATCAACTCTCCCTTTTGTAACAGAAAATCCATCCCGAGTTTATGGATAGTAAAGTTTAAGCCGATTACCATTGATCCATGTCATAAATTTAGTATCCATAAAATCTTCCAATTGTACTGA